TTTCTTCTGGCATCGAGATTCCAAGAAAAGTGCTTCCAACAAACAAACGAATCCCAAGGTGATGGGTGATGAGAAATAAGGCTTCTTTGATCAAATAGGATCAGAACTTCTGTTGCTCTGAGAGAAGTCCTAATTTTCTTACATCTGGAGTTTCAAGGAACTCCGCGGCAACTATAACAATGTATAAATGGAGAAAATGCAAAGGAAATGAACTAAGAGTGAAACCTTGATAAATCAAACCTCTCTTTAGCCACAAACCTCACTGTGTCAAATTTTTTAAAGTACTTGTTTGAAATCCCTTAAAAACAATACAAGAAACCCCTCTTGAAAAGAAGGCTTTCTCACTCGAAACTCTATGAGTAAAAAATTTCTGCAGGCCTCTTGGCCCCCAGAATATTGATTTTAATAACACAGGAAAGAAGAAAGCAATACAAATTCATCTTCATGCATTTTGGAAGGAAATGAAAGACTCATTGGGCAAATAAATCCTTGCCTTCAACTTCAGAATCCGGCCAACTCATATAAAAACAATGTAAATCCCAGAATATCACCAATTACAATTTCCAGCAATTATTCAGTCTTTTCCCCGACATGAATGCTTGTTTTTTCCAACTCCAAAACCCTCTCCTTGACTTGAATTGTTCTGCTGGTTCCTCGAATTTCAACTTCAAGAATTTCAAATGTTAATTGAAAATGCTAGCTAAATTGACTTCCAGGTTTAAAGGAAGACATCGTGTTTTCTAATCTAGAATAAAGCCACATGAAAAATATTACAGGATTTTTCTTGCTTGACCAAAACCAATATTAACCGGAATGATTCATCCCTGAAAAATAAATTCTAGGAGAGTCCACCAGACGTAATATGAAAGATCGAGAATCTTCGGATATTCTAACGTATTACGAAATTTTCCGCCCATTTTTACAAATACATTTTTGATTCAAAATTTTACTTACAGATGAAAACGAAATTCTGCAAAAATCTGGATTTTTCGTTTTATTATTTTCCTTTTTTATATTTCGAGTAAGACTCCGGGGCCTTGTATGAATATGCTTCAGAGCCACGCATGAGAATAAAAAAAACTGATGACCAAGGAATTTATTTCCGCAGACTCTGGCTCATTGTGACAGCGTGGGAACGTCGTCGACTCAATCCTCACCGACACCGACGGAAAGAATTCCCCTGTGGTCTCGGCTTTCCTCGTCGAAAACTGATGACCAAGGAATTTATTTCCGCAGACTCTGGCTCATTGTGACAGCGTGGGAACGTCGTCGACTCAATCCTCACCGACACCGACGGAAAGAATTCCCCTGTGGTCTCGGCTTTCCTCGTCGCATCACAAGAAAAAACCGGACAGTCTCGCCGGAAAATTCTCTACGTTACCGCATACCAAGTCAAACGGCGTCAATCACATCATCAAAACGTGAGAAAGAAAGTCAAGTCATCCATGAAGACCTTGATTGTAATTAAAAAAAAAAAAACATTTGAGGTGTTTATACCAATGCGATGTTTCAGTTGAGCTGTGAATAGCGATGCATACGTTTTTCCGATGATTGGAATTCCCATCTCTTTCATCTCTTCCTACGTTCCAGTTGTGTAACTTTTGTTTTTCAAGTGTAGGTGTCGCCCAAATCTATGTAATCCCACGTTCATCTGTCGAGCTGGATTATACTAGTTACTCAGTGATAACAATCTTCCAATAAATGGTTGATTATTATGCTAATTAGTAAAAAGAAAAAAATAACAATGCCATTGGTCCAACAGATCCCCGAAGAAATTGAAGGCGATGGAAGCATATGGTTGTCCAAAAAAAGAAAAGTTAAAAATTCAAATAAACAGCAGAGAAAATAAAAAGGAACACATTTAAAAAACAATGCTTTACATAATCTAGCTAACCTATTATATTTATATTCAACCCAGTTTAATGAGGTCTGACCTAAAATTTGTTAACATTTTATTTACCCAACTTCGGTCATTATCCTTCCCCCCCCCCCCCCAACAAGTTCATGCATTCAGAAAAAGTTGAAGGCGACAAATTTCAAAGAATAATTAATAAAAAGTTGGGGTTGATATTGAAAAAAGAACAGAAAGTTTGCGGCGTGCGTCGGATGAAAAATCATTCTGAATATTTCGCAATATGCAGCAAGAAGGACGATCAAACAATTATTATTTTTTAAATAGATTTTTTAATGTGGCTTAATTGAATCAGTGCAGCATAACGAAACTTAATTCATTATATTGACTACTCTTTTTTTTTACTCTTTCTATTCTGACAACTGCTCTTCATCGGAGACTCACCTTCAAAATTTTAAAGCCAAAAAATTCCAACAGTTCATATTGAAATGCCAGTGCGTCTCATCCTCGTGAAATCGGGTACCCCTCTTTTTCGTCAGCTTTCTTATTGAAATTCTATACATAGGCGGGGATGATTTCGAAATTGTTTCAATGCAAATGTCATTTCGTAGGCCCAGCAAAGACGACGATAAGCAAAGAAAGGACGGTGATGTGAAAAAGGATTCCCCGCCTCCTTACGCGGAATCCGATACGAAAAGCAATGACACCTCGAAACCCTGTTCCCCGGTCGCTCGGCCACAGGTGCAAACCCCAACCAAGCAACAAGAACCCGCAAAAAAGGCGTCCAAGTCCCGCAAGTTTCTCATTTTCTCCAAGTCCAACAAAAGCTCCGTCAGTAAAGACCCCGTCGTGGTGGTGGGTAGCACTCCGACCCCAGAACCCAGCAAGGAAGTCAGTGTGACTTCGCCGAAAACATCCCTGGATTCCGACAAGCCGGAAGAAGTGACGGAGGTGAAACCGGAAGAGACGAGTGTTGAACCACATTCCCCTGATGATGTGAGTTAATGATGGTATGGACATTTTAAAATGCAGTGGGACATCCAAGTGGAGACACACTTGGTTCGCCCGAGATATGTGTCGGGAATCCTCGGAATAAATTATTGATGAATATTCCACTATTACCTATACTGTACCTGAATTGCATAATTTTTTAATGCAGTGTCTAGAATTTGAGAAAATGTCTGCATATGCATGTGGAATTTTTCCACATGTCAAATTCATGCATGTCAAATTTCAGAAGAAAAAAAGGGGTGCGCGTCATAAGCAGGTACAAATTTTTCAAGAAGTTTTAGGAAGTTAGGTGTGCATTATACTTGATTATAATGGAGAAATTTGGAACAAATGTAACAAGATAACTTTTTTGTACAGAAACAGTCCAAAATTGATCAGATTATTGTTCAATACATGTCTCAAGTCAATTTTTTGTTTTTATTTTCAAAATTTTGTAGTTTTGGATTCACTAAAAGTTGGGGTGTGTGTCTTACTTGGGGATAAGATTTTAGTCAAATTTCCAACAGAAAACTCCCGGTGAGCGCCTTACTTGGGGTGCATGGTACTTGAGTAAATACGGTACTACTTTCCATGTGAAGCATAAACTAATTTTCCAAACTGCTGTGCCAAGGGTTTTTTAAACAGTTGGACTCCCCAGCTTACAAAAGAGGACCTCGTCATCCACAACAATTTTTATTTTTACAACTAATTTATTCAGCATCCCATCATTGGGTCCTCTCCCCGTGTTTTATTGGGGTTCTCTGCAATGAAATTCTCTCTACATCAAATTTTATTTTCCCTAGAAATGCGTTTTAAAGAGAGTATACTTATAACAAGCTCCATCTCAATCATTTTGGATTGCAATGAAATTTAAAATGATGAACGCTTGTGGTTATCACATGGTATAGACATTTGACTTGGGGGTTATTCTATCTAGTGAGTTCAGATTTCAGATTCTTTTTCAGATTTCGGCTTTCGCAATTTTCTTGATGTCACATTTGCGATTTCAACAAAAATTGCAATTGCGATTCGCATGGAAAATATCTGATATTCATTTCTCTCTTCCGTTTTCAGAATACTGAAGAAGCAAAAATGGAGGATTTGCCGGAAAAGCCTTCGAATGTCGCCGAAATTGCAGTGACCTAAACAGAAATACGAAATGCGTGTTTGTGAAGTGTTTGTTCAGAAAGCAAGATGAGAAACTTGAAAAGCAAGTTGATCCGAAGCCAAAAAAGCTTTGGTGAGTTCTAAGAGCTCAGCATGTCCTCAAATGAGTGAGTTCTTAAAAAAATGTAGGGCAGATATAAAGTTAAATTGCAATACTAGAGAATGTTTTTCTTGTTTTTCTGTTTTTTTTCTTGAATCTCAGAGATGGACAGAACGAAGAACTTTTCGAGTTATAGTTCCTATAGAGGAAAGTCGAAGCAAAAAAAAAACTCTTCGAGTGATTTTTTGAACGTCGTCTCAAAAGAGGTTCCGCAATTGCCTTTTTTTCCTTGAGTTTTGTGTAGGAAAATGAAAGCAAAGAAATTATAGCTCATGGAAAGAGGTGTCAGTGGATTGATTGTTTATGAAAAGACCCAGACGGCATGAGATCGTATTTTTAGACATTACTCTTTCACGACGGTTTTCTTGATCGATCAATCGAATTATTTGTTTCCATTCGTATCTTACTTTGTGCTCATTTCCCGGCGTGTTTCCATTTTATTTGATACGTTTTGTTTCAACGTTCTTACTTTGCAATTGACATGCAGTGAGGGGTAATTTTTCCAGTTTTTTGGCAGGAAAAATCAAATTTTTGTGTGTGGTTTCTTTGTTTTGGGTGTGCACTGGAAAGAAAGCCTGGGGAATGGAATGTTGGTCGTTGGGAGCCGAGTTTAGTAAATAACGCTCATATTGAAAAATGAATGATTGTGTTGTTCCATTCATTTCATAACCTCGTCAAACGTGAGCCAAACGTTGAATTAAAATTCAACTGAACCGATGGTCTCACGAATTTCAACATTTTGAAGATTCGAAGATGCCAATTCTGAAGACTGACCCAACGCACATACATTAATATAATTTATAATAAAATGCAGTACACAAAAACAGCTCAACTTTGGGAAGTTCATTTCACAGGAGAAATTATGCATAAAATACTCGATTTTTTCACATTATTGTAATCAATAATTTGGAGATAAAAAAATAATTGGTTATAGGTTGGACCCTGTTGCACAGCAGAATCCCAGAAATTTTTGCTAATAATTTACAGTGAGGCATAGTGTGCAAAGATGTTCATTCATTTGGTTCAGAGACCTTTTCCTAAAAAATAAGATATATTTTACCCAGCACCGTGGGTCAGAGAGAGAACGGGGACATTGTGTTTATGCCAATTATTTTACAAACTACTGTACATTTACAATCTTGTTTGCTTAAGTTCCAATGACTTATGATTGGCACACAGCTATATACTGAAATATTTCTTCTGTTCCTTAGTGCTCCTTCACAAATCTTCAGTATTCAATGCACATTCCTCTCCTGCCAAAAATGCAGCCAAATTAGCAGATCAAGATGATACAGGCATAATTTTGTGCGTGGTTTTGTGCATGGTGCTGAAATTTAATTCCACCCAACAGAATTCTCAAGGATATGTTGCTAAGATGATGACAAATGCAGTATATTTTTGCGATCACAAATTTGACCCACCAGGGAAAACTCTGACAAGATTTTTGGTGCACACAATGACAAAATTTAATAAAATTCCTCCTTCTTGGTTATTAGCTGTGTGTGTTTTTTATTTACGCCTGGACCTACTTCCAGAAAGTAGTTCATATTCAACTTTGACCGAGTTTGAATTGATCACAAACATTATTGGTGGTTCATTGGCCCTGCATTGAAAACATGCAGAATTGGAGGACAAGTACTGAGATTGCTGAAAGTGAAAAAGACGGTTTGATGGACCCTAGAAAGTTTGATGGACCCTCAACAGCAACTCCTTCTGTCCATGCCAACAAACTGCTCAGTAAAAATAGCAAGGAAGCCCATGCTTTGGCATTCATCAGGATTTTCCAGAGCCATGAATATGGGCCCAAAGGTGTTGCTGACTTTGACTCAGACCAAGTGGCAACCTTGGCCAAGAAATACCCCAGGGGAGTCCCCTCCATGACACAGCTGATCCTGTTGGAGGACCAGAAATTGGACTGGCCCAATTTGCTTACGAACTGGCCAGTGAATAACTTGGATGTGCATGGGTATATGCGCCATTGCATTATGCCGCTGCAGAGGGAAGACTGGATTTAGTTGAAATGGTTTGTTGAGTGTTATGGTTGAACCTTGATCAGGCAAACCTCCCTAATTCAAAGTCCTCCTTAAGTTAAATTTTTGGAATTCTGTATCTTGTTTTTTTTTCTTCATGTTATACCTTAATCTCGTGAATCCCCATTTTATTCCCTTACATGAGAATACGTCAAGGCCATTTTTGTGTTTTACCGATGATGTAAGGACTGTGATAAAAAAATTTCAAAATTAAAAAATATAGCATAGGTGTACTTATATGCTTCTATAAATTGAGGCGTTTACATTTATTTTGAAAAAACAGGGGAATTACGCTGCTTCTTTTTGTTTTGAAGTACAGTACAATAATTTCGTGTTGATCTTCAGGTGTACACGCATCTGATGTCACACCTCACAAGAGGAATTTCGTTTCGGTTCCAGTTGTTCCATGTTCGAGTAAGCAATAAGGTTGGAAAGCTGAAAATTACTTCCAAAAAAACAAATTCAGGGAAGGTCAGAAATTTTAATTAAAAGTTCTCAAGTTACAAAAAAATATGCACGTTAGGTCATTGAATTATTCTTATATTTATATTCTGCCCCAAGGCTTCCGTAATGCACAGTTTCGTTGTAATGGTCTATCATTATATGGGGACTCGCGGTATGTTCCAGATTCTGATCCAGGAGTCTTCCTTGCTGGAAGCTCATTTTCTAAAAGAAAAAAAAAATCGTAAAAATTCGCAGATGGGCCCAGGTTAACAGCTTACGATTTGGCAGTGCGCAGAATGCCTCTGTCGACTCGCCTGGGCTTTAACAGAAGTCACGATGACAAGCACAAAATGCCATGGCAAACTGTACTGGCCCTAGAGAAATCTGCTGCTGCTAGATACCTGGTCTCGTCCGGGCCAATCTTGACTGACCAAGCAGAATCCTGTTTTCCGATTTACAGTTCTGTCATCACTATGAGAGCTGCGCATGAAGCCAGAAGGTGCTGAGAAAAAATACCGTAAAATATTTTGCGTTTGTACATACAGTACAGTACAGTGTTGGGGTTCCGAAATCCTTGATTACATGAAATGACACATCTACTGAGGATTCGAATTAGGGAATTTCGAAGCTCGAAAAAAATTACCAGATTTTGTGCCAATGAATCATAATAACAAGGTTTCTTGCCAGCATGTTCATAAAAATTTCAATTCATCACAATTACGATATCAATTGAAAATATATGGAGATGTTCAACTAGAATACAAATGTAAATACTCTCTGATGCATGATACTGTATCTCCATTATCTGTGCACAGTATAGCATGAATTGTGCTTAGTTTTTTTTTTATTTAGCTCCGTTGTACATGATAAAAATTTGATTATGCCTGTACGGTTTTCTTCTACACAGTTGTTTTCTGCATATTCAAGTCGAAATCAGTTTCTTCTGTTTTTGGGACAGAGTGGGGCGCGCAGGGATTTTTCCTGGTTTTTCGATGAATATAGAAGACCCAATTGAGCTGATTTGGAATGAAGTCCATATAAAAAAAATTTGATCTGATCTGTGGACGCTCTGACATGCGGACTATAGCCATCTGAAATCAAGGCTGCATCTCATGGCCTCACTGCACTTTACAGTACAATGAGACCTCCACATGCCGACACCTCTAACATTGGGACAATTGGACATACAGACATTTTTGTTTCAATAAAAAAATTATAAAAAAGGCCTGACATATGGCCACTGATTTGACATGAGGACATTGCATGATAAAATTGCCAGTAAATTTTGGGAAAATTGACTCTTTATTAGGCTTAATTGCAAGAAACAGATATTTCCAACCCCAAGATATATGCAAAAATATTTCTTTTGTACTTTTCCCATCACTTCCCCAACCATTCAGAAAACTAAAAAAAAATTACCTATAGAACAGAGGACTTCCTTCTCTCTTTGTGACTTGAATTTTACATTTACAGATGCCAACATTTCAATGAACTGTACAGTGGTAAGGTATTCAATGGTCCAATGTTCTTATTGGGTTGAAAATATATTCAATGGATCAAATTGAAGTGTCAAAAATATTTTTTGCCAAGGAATTCTGAAGAATATTCCTTCCATAAAACACCAATTACAACTTATATAATGGAAGTCTAAGGGAAAACAAGACTCAACTTAGGGACAATTCCACTTCAGCGCATTCTTGATGCACCAAATATATACTGTATCCACATCTGGGGGTCTCCCTTTTCAATTGATATTCAGAATAAATTAAAGCACACAAAGGTTTTGACACAAAAAAAACTGGTTGTGTGAAACTTACTTTTTTCCAAGAAGTTTCTGAATATACCTCTCCTCAAAAAGACATTGATTTTGCCCTGCGCACCTTATCCCTGCATCCATGCAGCAAACTATTGGTTTTTTGTGTGCAGAATTGCAATGAAAATTCATTTTGACGGAATCACGGAGTTTGGCAGAAAAATTATTCCAGTAATGATGACATTCATTTCTTCTGCCAGTGTTTTGGAGGGGGGGGGGCCTGGACAATTTTGTACATTCAATGTGATTTGTTATCCTATTTCAATTATTTTACTTTAGAAGAATAACTAAGATAGAAATATGGGACTGTTATGAGTGCCTACTCTTGCAGTTCTTCACTCCTTAGTTGCAGAGGAGTGCTCTGCTGACAACGCAAGACTTATTGAGAAAATAACAGACAGACTTTTCATTGACAACAGTTTATTCAACCTGATTTTGCACACTCACAAATCAAGACAATATGCTTGATGGGGAAGCCTAAACGGAACTCTGACTCCTTCTCAGAGGATTGGTGATCAACTGATTTATCTAAAGCTGGACCTAGGTTTTTATACCAAATTGTGGGTCCTAGATTTTGGGGGCAAGAGTTTAACATTATACAGTTCATTGCTTTCAAAACTTAGTTAAGAAAGTACTGAATTTGTAGTCATGCGGTTTGAATGTCTGAGAGGCTAGGATTTGCATTGCGGGATAAGCATCAGTCTTGACTCTTGAAACACTGTTTCAAGATATGCATATCTTAATATCTGGAAACTATGCATGGCTGCCCTTTTGGGTTTTATGCATGAGCGGGTTTTCAAGGAGAGGATGCACCGCAAAGCTGCATGGTGAGAACAGCTCACCACAATCAAATGTTGCACTTTGGCAAAATTCCTGAGCACATATTTTTTTGCATTTGTAACAGATTATTTGGATAGTGCATGAAAAACTGCCTTTCCCCGCCAATTTTTCCCAACAGATCAAAAATGGAGGCAAATTTGGCTGAGAAAGACCATTTTGTGGGGTCACTCCTACTATGTGTTAAAGCAGAATGACATAATGTGCACGTAATTCATGAATACTTGGGATTACTGCATCCTGAGGAAAATGCAGCAGTTGATGATCAGAATCAACTCAAGCCTCAGCACAGTGTTCCAGTCAATCTTCAACAATCTGCTTCAATATCCTCTGGTCATCAAGGACAAGAAGGGTCAGAATCTTCGCAAATGCAAGCTGTGAATGCCAGTATTGTATTAGCAAATCTAGCGTTCTATCGGGCAACGGAAAATCAATAACTTGAAAAAATAAACATATCTTTCTGATATCCACCTATTTTCTTGAATATGCTGAAATAAAAAAATTGTCAAAAAACTGGATTTGGTTTTTGGACTGTCATTGAGAAAAACTTTTGGGTGGATTTGAGAAATGGATTCATTGAAAACTTGAGTTCAGGGAACTGAGATGCTTCAGTTATGTTCCATTCCCATCTTGATAAGTTCTAGGATTTATAATCTGAAACATTTTCCCAATATTCTTGCTTGGAATGATATATTTTTCAAATCCAAATAAAACAATCTCTCAGTAAATTGAACTTGCCTCTTTAATGCTAGTGCTTTGAATTGTTTGCTCTGTGAGGGGTCCCTGAGACCTCACCACAAAAATTGGTTTAAAGTGAAATAAACTGTCAAGAACAATTGGCTGTTTTCAGCCTGAGGTTTTCAAACTCCTGTTCTCAACCAAAATATGTCACACACAAATGCAGGTCTTGTCTCTCCAAAGTTCAGAGCAGGATTAATTATTTCTTCTAATGACTTTGCACAGGTCCAGGTCCTCCCCAGTGGAGAGCTTCTCCAAGGTTTTCACTGGGGTGTGACTAATTTTCTGTGTGTATATTTCTCAACAATTTCTTTGATCAAGTGATGATTAACTTGATGGAATGATTCCTGAAGATCATTATCATCAAGCTTGATTGTGTTTGTAATTCTTTAAAATCAGGTTTTTATTTAGGTTAGTATTTTCTGGAATTTATTTTCTTGTTCAACGTGGTGTTTTGTACCCTGTATTGTACTTTCATACTTGCTGTACCTTGTGCTGCAGACAACATCTATAGATGCAGGTTGACTAAAGTCAACCTGCACGCTCCACTGCTGACAAAGAAACAATTGTGGGGTCGCGTTCACGCGGCAACCCGAGCGTAGCATCCTCGCTCGGGTATACCGCACAGCAACTCCTACACGCCAACCCGGAAGCGGATAGGGCACCCGG